AATGCAATTAATGATTAAGGCTTATGCCACAGTACAGTTCAATTCGAATTTGGTTCGGTAACCTGACGTGATACGACCGACTTTCAACTGTGTCGAAGACACGAATGTACCAAGTGAGACAGATAAAGAAATGCAGCTTTAAATAAGTGCAAAGTTGAAAGCGAAACCTTCTATTTGGCACTTAAGTGCATCAACGCCTGGTTCTGGAGATATGTGGTTCATTATTTTATTGATTTACTGCATGGAGATTGAGCGATTGCTGGCTTCTTTTAATGTTTCGGAAGTTCACTGGTGCTCTGACGGATGTCGCCAGGACGGTATCAGATTTTTGCCTTTTCGTCGATGTGATGTGTTCTATTCGACAACAAGGCAAAGAAGCAGTTTAGCACCTAAACGTATCTTTTCTGATTGGAGAAGTCTCAGACGAGTGAGAAAGAGCTCCAGCCCAGTACATGCCTCATTAGCTTGACTTTCGTCCTAACGCTGAACAGCAGGCTTGATAACTGCACGGCGCAGCTGTTGCTGGAACAAATTATTTATCTTAGATTACGACGTACTGCCTCCCAAATTCTTGCTACAATAGCTAGTCGAAGCAGTTTGAATCAACAATGATTACGTTATAAATTGACAGCTAAGAAGGTGGCTGTTCATCCCTTTCATATCGGCAGCAGATCTCTATATTTGGACATAATGTGCTTATCGAAAAGCAGGCTTGCTTGTAGTGTTTCTAGATTAGGGGAAAGATGGTCAGAAGCCTAGAATAAATATTTTTGTAAGCTTCATCTATTAAATCTGTTTCAGATTTCTAACCTATTTGTTTTCATAAGATATCGTAATATATTATATGGCTGTTTATGTCGTTTCAAAATGGTTGTTTGTCTAGGACCTATTGCACTGACTATAATTTAGTAATTATCAGTTTTAGGCAGATGAGTCATCCAAAACCTCGTACGCGTCAGAAGTCGACACATAATTCCAATCGGTGGTTGAGAAAAAGATACTACAGTTCTAGTAGCGATGAGGAATCGATTTCTAGAACTGCACGCACAGCTGTTGGACAGTCGAATGTTTCACAGTCTCTACGAATGGCCACAAGAGAATCAAGTCCTGTGACTGCCGCCTCAACTAAAGTACAGGTGTATCATAAAGTAGGACCTTCAGATGGGGCCCTTGTGGTCACTTCTCAATTACCTAGCGATTTTCTGCTCTTGACTGCAAATGATGAAATTTTGAAGGAAGTTCCTTCAGAAGACTGTGCTGGCCCATCTGACACATCTGCTCCAGAAGCAGTCGAAGAAGATGACGAGAGCGAAGAGAAGCAAGGTTGGGAGCTGGGCGGAAGAGTCGACGTAGCACAAAGGTCAATTTCGCAGAAACGACGGCTGCGAAGGAAGCGCCTCCAAGAAATGCACATCAAGATGAAACGTGGAAAGTTTTGGGAAATATGGGAAATGCAGAAGGAAAAATATGACATCTAGGCATGTTGTAGCCAAATTGAAATGTTCATTTCGATTTCACTTGTTCCTTTCCATCATAAAATTTTTTGAGTGACATTTTTACCAAACCGCATGATCCAGGCACCATGAATAACAGTAATAATTGCAAAATCCAAATTTTGCTACGATTTTTTTCTTCAATATCGAAACTATTTTTGTCAGGTAAAATTCTTTCTTACGGTAGTTATAAGCTGCAGACCTTTCAAGCAGAAGGATAGTAGTGAAGGATAAAACAGGTTTACACAGTAAACAAACGAGAAGACGTACAGTGAAACTGTTCCTGACAAGTTCGACTGAATTGGGCTTATGAACTCTGCGGCTCCCTCAGGGTATTGAATAGGTTGAACATGAGTGCATAAATGTTTCGGTTCTGGCGCATGTATTGGCAAACTCATATGTTGCGTTCACACTTGTTTTGCAGCTGGCCAGAATGTCACGTGAGGGCTCAGTGATGGCTCAGACTGTCGAGAGTTCTCTTGATGAAGGCTACGTTGTCGTTGCTAACGTCCGTCGCAATTGTCTCAGTGATCCATTGATACGGCAGGCCAGCTACCTTGGCAGAAAGCTTTAAGCAGTGATAAAAAACACCATGGTCGTTTACCGACAGTGTCCCAAAGATCGCGGGTGCGGTAACGATAGTACAGAGATTAGAAAAGTGCGAGAACTGCGAACGAATTCAAATGGGAGCACCAGACTGCGGAAATCTTTTAACGCAAAAGGATACCTTTCGTACCTCTGAAGTAATACGCTGAACGTGATTTAACCACTTGTTAAGCAGACATTTAGATATATTCCAAGATATATTAATGATTTCCTCTTTTCAGACAGCCATCAACCATGCAGGGGACCGATTCTACTTATTGGAATACATTAAGGAAAATTATGAAGTATGAAAATGCCTTTAACTTGTTCAATAGTGATTAAGTGTCTGCCTTCTTTACCTCAGCAAAATTGGCTGACACATCTGCCCTACTTGCTGCTGTCGTCAGCGTACTACAAACAGGTGTGAGGTAAATTCACCTAACAATCAGTTGTACCGGTTGTAAGAATCAGATGGGAGATGTCCGATCCTCAAGGGATACCTAGATTGTTCGCTAACACTCGATTGGTTCCTGGGCAGGTAATAGGAACGGTATAGCTGGTACGCTGTAGCTGGAATGGGACGTTTTGACAGACCCCT